GAGAAAAAAATATATACACATATATGGTATTATTATAACATGAAGATATGTATTTGTGTCACTGCAAATAAATGTCACTACAAATAAATATGTCACTCCAAATAAATATATTTAAATGGCTTCAAATACCCTTTAGATTTTATAGGCAACTGATATAAAGGTATCAAAAATAGATATTTGTAACATCATTTTATATTTGAGGGAGAGTTTTCTCCGAGAGCTCTTTATTTGCGAGTGAGCTCAGGGTACAGAGGTAGAGTAGTTTTTTCAGGACATTGCTATCGAGGAACTTAGTAAAGAATTTCCGTGAGGTTTTAAAGTTATTGTAATATAAAGATTCAGGAAGTTTGTACTTTGAATTTGAAACCTAATCATGATGTTATTAACCTTATGTGCGTGTGTTTACATAGGGCGTCTTCTGTATATGCCAAAAAAGTTCATCCAGTATTAAAGTTAATTCAGATCTCTAGTGCGCATATGCAGTGACAGCATCCAGTATCAACTTTGAATACACCTCTGGACCTGCATTAACCCCTACGATTCGGATGACGTTACGGCCCTATCAAGGAAAAATCTGGATTGAGAATCGGCTGACGTGAACATGCTGTCATCGGGCAGGTTGTATTATGAAAAATTGAAAATTACAAAAAAATGAGATATATGACACAAATAAGCAAATGTTACATCATTTTTTATTAGTTAATTACAATATAGAGAGATGATATGGAGTCTGTGCAAGGAAAATAAGCTATTACCGTCTGGATAAACCAAATCAAAGGACAAATATGGATAACAAATAAAAATATTAGTTATCCATGTCAAATCGTTTTCATTAACAATAAGCCTTTGCCTTGCCTTGGGGAACAAGTGAAGAGTTGGTGTTTTGTCATCTGCACCTGTTATCTTTGTTAAGAAGTGCATAAAAATCATCGGACACCTAGGTGTAGGTAGATATCTACGTATTTATGGCACCTATGGCCTACAGTAAAGTTTGCGCATTATATTTTTATCGGAAATGTGCGAAATGATACAATAGGAGTTTCAACTCTATACGAAGACTATGCATAAGAGCGGGTTCACAGTTCCATATTGTTTATATTTCAGAGTATATATCACTGTGTACTACTTATGAGGACCGTCCCAGATAGGATGGGGGGACAGGGTCAAATTGAGGTAGCTAGCGTAGAGTATAGATACATGGATGAGGAAACTACCAAACAAGTATTAAACGCCTGCTGTGGCTCGTTGTCTTGCAGCCGACTTTTGCATTTTGCAGTCATGCATATAGCATTTGATTATGACATTGTGCATAGATATGAGTTCGTGAATGTTCAAGGAACACTTTTATACCAGTAACAGGAAAAAATTATATCACCGTTATTTTTGATGAAATATTTTGTGAAATATATTTTAAAAAAGTGTTTTGTGTCCTTTTATACACCAAATATTCTTCCATCGAGACTCCCTGGCAATATGTTGTAGGTTACGAAGGAATCTGTATGTTTATTACATACGAAGCACTAATGTTTGAAAATAGCCTTGTAAGTAAGATTTAAAATATTTCCGTTACATTTTGCTCAACGGTTTGTACATCACAGCATAGGTAAATTTGATTTGATTTGAAATTGGTTGTTACCGTTGTAAAGGCTGAATCAATATGAATGTCGGATTTTTGAGCTTCGGATCTATAGTTGAGATACTGATTATTTCATGTCGATGATAGTACTCAGTAATACCCACTCTGAAATAAAAACCATATGGAATTTTGAGCCCTTTTGTGTGCGCAGTCTTCATTTAGAGTTAAAAAAGCTATCGTATTTGTTTTGTGCATTCCTGATAAAAAATGATATATTTAGACATTACCGTAGGTCTTAGATACCATGAATTCACAAATATACCACCACACCTAGCCGTCTGCATGATTTATCCACTTCTTAGTAAAGATAATGGGTGCAAATGGCTAATCACCAACTCTACACTTTTTCCCCTTTGCAATCTGTTAATATTGACAATTATCAAAGAACACGGTGTGAGAGGGATAACTAATATATTTTATTATTTATATATGAAAGTCAATGTAGGCCTACTAAATGAGGATGATTCATATTTTTAACTTTGTGTTTGTGTTCATGTCCACATGATCCTCCTGGAAAATTATAAACACCCAGTGACCTATTCCTATTGACTTGGTAATCATCTCATTGGAAAGTACACTAAATAATCTTTTTTTATATATATATAATGTCATTAGATTCAGAGAAAAATAAGAGATAATGAACTTTGGCTAGGTGCTCAAATATAATACGGCGTATCTCAGTTCCTTCTTTACATAACCTTTGGTACATCCTAACTCTTGTAATTTTCGTGCGATTCAAATGCAGTTTGTTGCTTTTGCTAGAGCCTCGGCGTCCTAATGTCGTGTAAATGGCTGATTTTAAAATTTTTGCCCTAATAAAAAAATATAAATTTTTTAATGTTGAAAAAAGCAAACCAAAAATAGTACTCTTATATCAAGCAGTCCCTCACCAAAAAAAAAAAAAAAATATATATATATAAAAATAAAAAATCAGACATTTACATGGCCTTAGGCTAGGGTTATTCTAACACAAGTATTTTTTTGGGACTATTCAGTTAATAACTGTGGCAGTTGGGATGTACCGAAGTCAAAAAAAACAAACAATTCTTGACTTTTGGGGTTACCCCCCTCTATGGGGGAGCAAGGTTAAAATTGTATATGAAATGAAGTGCAATTCTATACTCAATATAGTGTAAAAAGAATCAATCAGTTATCTCTTAACCGATATTTTTTATGATGTAATGAGTAGGGAAAGATGGTCATTTCCCGGGATGGTCCCCTTAACATAAAATGATCGATGTCTCACTTATATTTTGGAAGTTTAAAGATCTGGCTTCTAGGTGCTCTTCATATTTGAAGTGCAGTTTACCCTGGAAATGATCAATTTTAAATCAAAACAAATTTGCTGAGTGTGGATGGTACCAACCATTGGAGCAAAGTCAAACCAAAATCTTTGTAATCATTATTCATACTGTTATTTTTTAACATTAGTACTTCATACTTGGTACACATAGAGAATACTGTTATTTTTTAGCAGTAAATGCTTCATACTTGGTACATACCCTTCTTAAATTACAACATATTACCAAGGAGTCCTGATGAAAGAAACTTTAATGTGTAAATGTACACAAATATGATATTTTTTCTGATATTGGTATAAAAGTGTTCTTAAGACATTGACAGACTCATCAGTGTGATTTTTTATTATCAAATGCCATATGCAAGACTGCAAAAAGCAAAAGTCCATACAGATGTATCGGATGCTGATTACCTGTGTACTTAGTTTACCTGTTGGCACTTCTGCCCTTGCGCCTCTCAAGAAATGACCTGAGCTGGGCTATAACAGTCATTTTGTAGTTTCCTGATTCATGTACCAATAACACAGGCTAGCTAACTGCAAATGACCCTCTTCCTCACACCCACCAGGAATGGTCCACTAAAGTAGATGACATTTTCTCATAGCTGAATTAATTTGAAAGTTGTAGCATCAACCATAATGGCATTATTTTGAATTGCAGTTTTTTCATTTAGAGGCGGAACAGTGGGGAGAGTTGAAGTTGAGTTGAGGTATATTGATCCATATATTACCGCTACCTCTTGATATGATATTATAGTGATTCACCATAATCAAGAGAGATGCATAAGGAAAATCAGAAATATCACTGATTGTAAAGCAACTTCAGTTTGCCAGGGCTTCAAAAATTAAGGGTGTAGTTACATATGTTCAGCTTCCAAGTTTTTTATATGAGTGCCACAACTTAATCATTTTTATGTTTTATTTTGTGTTTTCTTGAGCCATAGACTGGCATTTAGACATACACTATACTTTACTTTGTGTGTACATCACAATTTTCTGTATTTTTTGTTCACTGAGAGATGAGAGCAGGTAGATTATGTGCAACATAAGAATTAGTACCACTGAATGTCTAATGTCACGGTCATACAATAACAAACAGTTTTATTCTGAGTGACATAGGATGATTCCTATTGTAATAGTTATTCAGTAACTTAATTTCAGCTCTCCCCAAAGCCTGTGTTCTCTCAAGGATTGAATTCTGCTTGGATGATGAGGAAAGACTTGTACATGATTTTGTTGATTATAGATGTCTTATCAAGTACAAATTTTTTTGAAATGCTTATTATGAAAGAATATACTATAGTGCATTGTTTTATATCAATTATGTAGGGTGGAATAGTAGAAATCTATTCTGATGAATGATAAGAATTTAAATTGATCAAGAAGATATGGCATACCTAACGCCAAGTTTTTTTTGTAGAGGATATTTGAAATACATACTTTTCAGTTCTCATTTTAATTTGCATCACTTTCAAACTTAGAAGTCATATCTGAGGATACACTGATTGTCAAGTTTTAGCCTTATAATAACTGAAAGTTGTGAATTCGTAATCAGAGGCTGATGAAACAGCAGCTCCTTTTTTGTAGAGATGTGTGGTGTGTGTTGAATAAATGTGTTTTTACATGGGATTTCTGTTTTGCTGTATAGTTTCATAACCAGAAATATAATATATTTTCCTTTAGTATTGTGCATGAGTGCATTAGCTTTGATTCCCTCACAGACAGTCAATAATCATGCTTTAGTAACTGCTTTACATTGCATGAATATATACCAACACAGTTTATTTGTCATTTGATATTCTGTTTGAGTTTTTTGCCTTTGCATTTGCTTTTAAGAGGAATATTATCATTACATGCATGTTTGTTCCAAAATATTGTTACCTTGGTATCAATCACTTAAGAGCTTTGTTGTGTGAAAATTTTCTGCTCTACTGTTTCTTTGCCAAAATGAATTCAGAATTGTATTTAAGATCAGTTGATGAGCCTAGGCTCCTCACAAGGTGTTTATTGAGTGAGACTGGCATGTTTGCTGTGGTGTGTGGTGCATGTGGTGGTGTGTTCTTGCAGTGGGGAGAGTGATTTGGAGGGCTCTCGACGCTCTTCCATGGACCACCCACCTGCTGTACAGATGCGGAGGCTGTCCACCTTACCCAGAGATCCTCGAGACTCCAGAGTTGACCTGCGACGGATGAGCCTTTACTTGGAGCCTGGTACCTGGCGGCTGCCCAGTGACCGAGCTGCACTACCTCCATCACATCCTCGTCGTTTCTCCATGGGCCCAGACTCTTATACACAACCTTACAGGATGACAGACTCCCTCACTGAGATCCAGGGCGACATCCAGCGACTGGCAAACCAACAGCAGCAGATCCAGAGCATGATGCACAATGGCATGACTCCCCAAACTAATCAAGGGATGCAACAACCTCCTCCTCATGGCCAGTTTTATCTTCATGATCAAGTAAGTTTAAAAATGCTACTTTTGTCAAGAGATATCCAAGCAATATTTATTTTCTTAATTAATTATTAACCCATAAATGATGATTGATATGCTCTAGTGTCATCATAGTGTCATTAATCATGTTAGGAAGATAACACATCATGTCATGTGGGGTTTGTCTGTTCCAAGTTGTATGCACATAATAGTTGTTTGCTTGTTTGGCTCTGGCTGTGGTCATTGAGGAGGGAGAGTCTTGCAAAGGGAGGCCTAAAGCCTCTTTTTAACCTCCAAAGCAATGATTTATTTTGCAGCCAAGAGCATAACCAAAAGCTGGGTAAATTTATCTTTTCCACAAATGTACTTTTTCCCTTGAGCAGCTGACTGTGTGTACTATCTGGCATGTTGTTCGGGCATGGTGATAGGAGACCTCTTTGTAAGAGGATTAATGCATTGAATCTAGATGCTTTGCTTTCCACACCTAGACCAAAATCTGGGCATTAGGCTTTCTGCAGTGGCCACTTCTGTGTGAGCCATATAGACCCAGGCCACATGAAAACTTGCGTTTAGTATCAAGACTGTCTCCCCATTGCAATGTTATTTTTTAATTTATATGTAAGTAATTTTTGAAATTAATTATGCTGTATCAAGGTGGTAATAGACTGTTTTTGTTGAGCAGACTCCATATTCTCTCACTAGGTTGTCTACAACATAGTGCAATGATAGTAATAGTAACTTTTGTATTTTGTGTCATTTAAAAAAAAAAAATTCAAACCCAATTATCTGTAAGTTATCCTGTGTCGCTGGTTACATTAGGTAGGAATAAGAGTCTGAGCATGGGAATGATGTCCACTCTCATGCCGGTGCTCTTCCAACAATGGCTCATGATTAGTACTTTCCCCATTCATTTTCTGATAAACTGATAATGCTTTCCACCATCGTTTACTGGTAAAAGTAATGAAAGAATCCCTTTTTAAATGACTATAGAGTCTAAGCTCCTCCAAGAGCTTTGTGCACTCATGGAAAGTCATATACTGGCACCTGAACCCTCAGCTAAATTCTTAATATTGGCACATTCCCATCACCCAGGCCCTCAGTGAAATTTTCCATGGTAGCATATTTAGCCACGTATTTTCATGACATGATGTTTGTGTATGGCTTGCAGGCTAGGTGCGTGCGGACACTCGTGAGCAGTGACAAGACACTGTGCCTCCTCTTTGCAAAGTTATTTTGCATAAACTTTTAAGCTTTTTTTTTCCACTTTCCAGTGTTAATATTTGTTTTTTTATTCGCTTTTTCCGGATGTAGTAAGTAAGTCGGTGCAAGAAAGAAAATAAAAAGAATTTGTTATTTGTGTCGTATATCTTATTTTTTCGTATTTTTCAGTTTTCCATAGTATTACCTGCACTGCTGGTCACAGCACCCTGGAATATGATGCTAAGCATGGGTATGGCATCTTTTCTGGAGCCGGTTCTCGTCTAGTCATGGCTTACACACATCACATTCCACACTTGTTAATTGATGAAAATACTGCTAAATCCCCCTTTTAAATGCTAAATGAGTCTCATCACACTCCAAGAGGTTTGTGGACTTTCTGTCACCTTGGCCTTCGCTCATGACAGCAAGTTCGCTTCATCCGGCCTATGGCCATTTTGTCCAGTGACGATATGTTCTTGTCACCCGGCCCTTGTCCCAGATTTTTCCATGACGGGATGGTCATGTCATCTTTGATCATAGGGATTAATTCTGCAAGATGAATATTAGTAAAAGTTATTAGTGGCAGTATTTACCTGCATGCAATGGTAACATGCATATACATATCAGAGAGATTTCAGCAATAAGAAATTCTTTTGCTTGACATTTTACTGTCTGAAGCATGTTAAGATTTTTGTCATTTATCACACTAAATGTAATGAATGTCTAACTAACTATATATGATGATGCTTATACAGCATCATATCAGTAAATTTTAGTTTTCTATATCTGATTATTTGTATCTAATGTATGTTGGATTGTTCCTGAAATTTCTAGATAACTGTAGGCCTGAGTACCAGCTTAGAAGGGTTATTTGTTGAGGGAGACATATTTTTATCTTTACACATTCTGTCTCTAATCTTAGACTTTCAGCAATACCCTTAGGATTCATTGTGAACCCTAATGTCATTTTCTTGGGTACCCATAGTCACGTTTTAATTCTCTGATGTGTAAAGACATGACAAGGGAAGGGTGAACCTGAATTATAGATAGCACATTTGCATGTCATAACAATGGAGGCTGCTGTGTGTTATCATCATCTAGGAGCTAAAACCAATGGTGCGCATAGCCGCATCCAACCCTTGTATATACCTGTGAGGATCCCTCATGGCAAGCCGCCAGGCAGGGACTCTGCCTATCTCGAGTTCTTCGTGAATGGTTTGATCGATCTGCTCAAACCATGACTTCCTAGGTCATCCCACAGGGCTCCTCCACCTAGGGCTGTCTTGAACAGAGACAACCTGACAGGCAGGATCATCCTGAGGAAAGCGAGCCAGGTTGTTGTATAGCCTGATGTGGCAATCACGGATTGTGCATATAACAGGTCCTGTGCCAGTCTCACGGTGCAACTATTGGTTGGTCACATGGTCCCGCCAACAGTAACCCAAGATCCAGCGCAAGGACCTATTACAGAAGGCCTCAAGACGAGACTCCAAGACACAGGATAATGTCCAGGTTTCACTACCGTATAGCAAAACTGGCATTATCAGGGCCTTGAAAACCCGTAGCTTGGTCCTTCTGCACAGGTACCGACATCTCCAAATACTCTTGTGAGAGAGTTCATGACCCTGCTGCCAGGCCAATCCGTCTGCTGACTTCATGGTCTGACAGCCCAGAGTTATGAACTACACTACCAAGGTATGTAAAGCTCTCTGTGACTTCAATGTCCTCGCCGCAAGCACATACCGACTGAACAGGTTCTACAAGTCCCCAAATTCCTGGACCTTGGTCTTGGTCCAGGAGACCTCTAGACCCAAGGGTTTCGCTTCATTGCTAAATGCATCAGAACCACCACTAGGGTTTCCAAAGACTCAGATAGAATGGCAACATCAGCCAAAGTCAAGGTCTGTAACCTTGATATTGCCCAGCTTGCTCCCACAATGACTTTGAACAGTAGCTCTGCCCAGTATCCAGTCCATGCAAGTGTTGAAAAGAGTTGGTGCAAGGACACAGCCTTGCCTCACTCCTGAACAAACGGGAAAGAAGCTCGACTGGCCCCCACCACACTTATAGCACTATAGGTCAGGAGGAATGGTACTGGACTGCCAGATGGCAGCCAGGACAGCATGTAACCCCCACACCATAGGTTCACCCACCAGCCTTTTAACATTTCAGCTGGTATGCCAGAGATGCCTGCTGCTTTTGCCACTCTTCAGCTTGGAGATCTCCCCCCCAACTTCAGTTAGGGAGGGAGGATCCTCACTGATGGGTGGGTACGGCAATGGAATCTTGGCACTCCCCGCATCCAAGTTAACTGTTGGTGGGTCAACCTGGTACATCTGTTCAAAATATTCAGCCCAACATTCCCCACCCCAACAGGATCTGAGACAATCTGCCACTTACTGAGTGAACTGCTGTCACCTTGGAGTTCAGCTTTCTGAGGGCTTGGTATACAGGACAAAGGTCATTTACTAAGAAATGGCCTTCTGCCTCCTCTGCAAGACTCCAAATAAACTGTTCCTTGTCCCTTCTTAACAGAGGCCGAGTTCTGTGCACATGAGAATGGTGCAATTCCCGATCCCCTGTCAGACGAGCTGCAGTGTACACCAATTGTCTCTTGAGCTGCATCAAGTGTTTTTTTGCTTGAAGGTATCCCACAGAAGAACAGGGTCTGTCAGACTGTCGAGCATTGTGAAACGACCAGAGAATGCCTCAGCAAACCCATGGGCACACTCCACCTCCCTCAGCCTGTCCAAATAAAATACCCTAGGGTGATCATTGGACCGCTGGGGAGTTTTGAAGTGGACCTGGAGGGTAGCCACAACCATTCTATGGTCAGTACCACAGAACTCAGCACTCCTATACACCCTGGAGTTCTGGATGATCCTCCGACGAGTGCTAACGAGTCTGTGGTCCATCTCTTTGGCTGCATTACCCGCATCACTGTACCATGTCCAACGATGCAGGTCTGGGCGCTGTACCAGGAGCCAGAAATCCTGTATTTATAGGACCTAGCAAAGTCCCGGAAGTCCCCCAGAACAGTACGAATATCTCGCCGGGGACAACTGTCTGCCACAGATGCTAGTTTGGCGTAGAACATCTCTTTCACGTCATGCTCATACCAATTTTTAACATTGGTATGAGCATAAACAGCAGTAAGAGACATGAACCAAATGATAGCTTCAGTCTCAGTACCATTATACACTCATCGACAAGAGTAACCTCCACTACTGAGGGCTGGAGATGGCAATGGCTACTCCCTGTAGATGATGACCATCAGTGCGTCCCAACAGTAATAGGTGTAGCCACCTACACTGGTCACACCGATGCCAGGTCTCCTCAACCTCCGAGAGAGCACCCACCTTAACTCTCAGCCTCCCAGTTCCCTTGACAATAGAGGCAAACTGATCATCCTAACACAAGGAACGGACGTTTTCAAGCCCCTACACCCGACTTCCTGCCTTGAGGTTTAGCCTCGGGCAGTCACTCCGGTGGACGCCACCTCTGCCACCCCTGCCGAGTTGCCCCATATAAAAGGGGTGGCAGGCTGCGGCCCCATCATCCACCTGTCGGGTTCCCTAGGGCTTTCCCCCACAAGCTTCACTCTTGACTGGCGGCTGCCAGAACATAGGCGGGACAAGTAGTTCCCATTCCCAGCCAACAGGGCCCACAGTTTGCCTCACTTGCTGGATGGGAGAGTCTTTTCCCCTCTTCCCAGCCTTTCATTTATACACAGCACTGAAGATTGGTTATATCTGGGGGAGGAGGACTGGCAAGGCCCACCTCCCGAGCCTCCCTTTAACCCCAGGGGCTTAGGGGCAGGAGTTGGTACGATGAAGGAGAGGCTATGTACTGGTATGTGTGTGTTTTGCTCTCTATATAAGTATGAAGTTTTAGAACACTTGTACTTGAACCTTTGAAAGTGAGTCTAGATCCTTTTTTTAGTATTTTTATTGATAAACAATAATTAACTTCTCTGTAACTAAAAACAAATATGGAAAAACTATTGTTCCTGTTCTTTTAATTTTGCCAGGAAGTGTATGCTACTTATATAGTCAACTCCTTATTTTTGTAATTTAATTGATCAACAGTAATTGACATGTTTTGAATAAACCCCTACAATCCAGATGATGTGATCATCATGTCATGAAAAAATTTGCCTTGAGGAGTGAGTGATGTGAGCACGCTGTCATGAAAAAGTTGCTGAGGGCTAGGGTAAAGTGAACTTGCCATCATGAGAATTTTGGCTTAAGGCCGGGTTGATGGGATTGCCTTGCCATGAGTGTACAAAGCTCCTGGAGGGTGATTAGATTCAGTGGGCATTTAGGAAGGGACTACTACGTTATTTCTATTGATAAAGAGTGTGGAATGCACCATCTGTATAGGTATATATAATATCTATAAGATGGAAGAGAATCGCCTCCATGGAGGACCCTGTTTCCATTTTCAGGATACTATTTCTGGCTACTGTGACTGGTGGCATTATAGATATTACAGTAAACTGGCTATAATAGAATATTAAGAAATGACACAAATAACATAATGTTATTTATTGTTGTTATTACAATGAAGTATGGACTACCAAGAGAGATGCTATGGAGTCTGTGAAAAGAAAGCATGTTTATATCAGGTATGTTGCCCATTGATGGATATACATCAAAAGAATCCTGAAATTTCGACTGAAATTTTCAGAGCATCATTGAAGAGCATGAAGCCTCGATACAGCATTTCAAATGACAAAACTAGACAGTGGAAAATTGCAAAAAAGCCAATTACATTTATGAAAAAAAAAGAGAAAATAACTTGTAAAGGGGAGGCTTGGAGTCTTGTCACCACAAATGAGTATTCATTTGCACCTGGCAAGCCACACACCTAACAGAGTGGCCACTCAAGTAAGCCTAGTACC